CGTCGTATTCGTGGAAGTAATGGCAGATAAAATATTTTACCAAATTGCTTTGAGTTAAAATAAACTATGACTTAAAAAATTCTGATTGATATCTTATTATCGGATTACATTCCATGACTTTTTTTTCGACGCGCCATTTTACCAACCGGAATTGCCTCCAAGTTTCACAGTAGCAAACAGGTCAATGTTACGATGCCGGCTGAGATGGGTAATAATATATAGGCTTGTTGTTCCAACAGAACTTGCGACTTCTTGTTGACAAGTATAATTACATTTTGCCTTTTTGCTGCTAACTTTTACGTAGCGACCCTTCACTTTTGACATGTTTACATGCGTTTAAACGATTTTAGATAAGTCGTTCGTAATATGTCACCTTGACGTTTTTCTTTCTCTTAATTAAACGTTGAAATAATCGAGCAATACGCAAGCATCTCTGTATCGGTTATCGTATTGCTAAAAAATATCGATATATACCGATTACCGATATATTGATCCAGCCCTAATAGAGAGTAAATATAAACCACAGCCGCATTATAATAAAATAAACAACAAACAGATTTTGGAATGGTAAATGAGTGTTGCATTTAGGAAGTATATATTTCAAATCATCAACCAAAATGTTTAGCTTTCAAAATAAACCAGATCTCCCCAGATTAGATGTATTAACACCTCAAATGGCTCAGCGGTAGATGCATTTTTAATGTTTTTTTTTGACAAGGCTGTTTAAAGATTTTTTTCATAGAAAGTCCTTTATTTATGCATACTTTTTATTACTTATCTTTTGCTTGAATCAATGGAGGACATTTGTGAATAAAAAGCTACAACACAATAGGGGACATATTTTGTGTATAAAAATGCACAATACAATAGGGGACATTTGTGTATAAAAATACACAATGCAATAGGGGACATATTTTGTGTATAAAAATACACAATACAATAGGGGACATTTGTGTATAAAAAACTACAACACAATAGGGGACATATTTTGTGTATAAAAATGCACAATACAATAGGGGACATTTGTGTATAAAACTTCACAATACAATAGGGGACATTTGTGTATAAAAATTCACAATTCAATAGTGGACATTGTGGGTATAAATGATCACAATACAAAGGTAGATATTCCTGTATATAACATGCAAATACCAAAAAAAATGTGAATGACGTATGTATATACATGTACCTTAGGCTTATCAAAATACAAGAAGGAACAATTTTATGAATTATTCTAAAACCTCAATGGAGGAGAATTGAGTAAAAATACGGAGTGTTTTTTAAAATGTAGCAATTATGAAATTTAAGATGCCGAAAAGCTTTTCTCTGATAACAATTATTTTTGATTCTATTTTGTTTTGTTCGGATGAAAGCTTAAAATTGAGTTTGAACTTTGTTTAGGAATTAAATACAGTTAACGTGGATCTCCCATCCACACCTCACCAAACCTCCAAGCGCATAAATCAATGTTAAAGTGAAGTAATAATTACATCGACAGTAGTGTACTTATTCTTAAAAGTATATGCATGAAACAATTTGAAAAGAAACAATATATTAAGCTGCCAAGATATTATTTACTTACTTTAAATGACCATCCGACATTTTTGATAGAAAAAGTATAAGTCATCAATAGTTTTTATGTCTTAGTGTACAAGTGCTTTGTATCTTTTAATCGAGCTAAAATATAAAATATCTTAGTGTTGAATTGTACGGTACACATATTATATTTCCAAATTAACAAAATCTGTTTTCAGAATCTGTATATACCCCCCAACGCCGTCGAAATTACTAGATCTGCCTATGGAAGAGAACAAATTCATCTTCATAGTATATATACACTGTATTGAAAATTTAAGATCTTGAAAGAAGACAATTATAAAAAAAAACATCTTTTAAGAGTTTATATATGTTATAAAAGTTATTTGAATGATTGGAAACTTAATTCGTTGCACGCGATGTCATTATACGTTCTTACTGAATAACGTCGATACCGATTTGAAATTTTGACTTTAAGGTCATATGCAACATACTTTGAACTTTATTGATCTCTTCCCTGGAGGTGAATTCTACTAGATGATGGACCTGTGTGCAATACTTTAAAATGTTATATGATTATGGATTTGCACACCTCTTCTAAAACAAATTTTGAAAAAGAATCTGTAAATTGTGTTTTGTAATTGTTGTATATACTTTTCTTTGAATAATGTAAAAATTTTCATAATTTGTGATCTTTCAAAAACCCTGGTAATGCATGCTGATTTTTTGTCTATAAACATCTGATGACACTATAATCTTAAATTTAAAATATCTTGAAAAATTATCAGCAGGTAAGGTACCTTGAGTATGTCTTTAAGGACCCTTTTTTCGTAAAAGCAGTCAAATGATTAAAATTTTTTCTTCATTATTCTTAACGCCTTCTTCCTTTCTCTCTTTCGACTGTGATCAAACGTGAGCATTGTACTACATGTATATGTCCATGCATAACAACTTCCACGTACCGACGTACCGGGAGTGGACTGCTACTTATTCTGTGTATTATAAAAATATGACTTTCTTTAATATATTTAATTTGAAAATACTAGTAGCAGATATAATGGTTGTACGAATATTTACAATGGTTACTGGTTAATTATAGATAAAGGATCCTTTTAATTAATCAGATTTATTGTAAATACTCTATATAAGCTAACTTTATGAATCGCACAGGTTTCATATAGTATATAGGTTTTTTTCAATAACTCGTATTCACACACTTCGAATTCTAAGGGGTATGATCAGATCGCTGTGGCTTGTGGGAAACATGGGATAATTTGCATAACGGGCGAAGCCCATTATGCATAAATTATCCCATGTTCCCTAGACAGTGATTCCTTATATTTCCTTTTCATTGTGAAAATAAAATTGTAGATTTAGACTTAAATAAAATGCAGACATAGATTTAAATTACACGAGGATTTCCATCCCAATTTCAATAGCCATCGGACACTGAAGTCAAACACAACAGCAGCCGCACGAGATTTTCATGCAAATTTGGTCTCCTTAGCGTTAGACTCGCAGACAGATTCGCACGAGATTTGAATGCATATTACGCCTCCTTAGCTCCTGACCTATTGACCTGCCTAACTTACATAACAGTATAATTACCAAGGAATTAACTCCGCTAAGTTTCAAAGAGTTATCACAGAGAGAAAAATTAGAAATGGAAATATTGCAGCATAACCCCCCTTCCTTCTCTTCAACATCACATTAAACATTTCGTTTTCATGAAGCGAGACATTTATTGATATTTTTTTTTAGACATCTTCCAGTGTCTCTCCCCTTCAGAAATCTCAGACTGTCGAAGCTTAATTTTTAAATTTATTGTTGTTAATAGCCCTCCTGTGATCATCAAATATTTCAACTATTTATACTTTCAATTTGGTTTGCAAGATAATTTGGTCCAATGCACTTCTTGCAGTTGTCACCAGTCCTACATTTGAACGAGAGTTTTTAAAGATATATCTTTTTTTGCAGTTGAGGTAAAAAGAAATTGGAAGAATAAATTCAGAACTAAGCTTTTTGTCCAGGCAATAAATATACAGTTTTCACAATGAATGGGACTGTAGCTCTCCAATCTGTCAAAATATTTTTTTCGGATAGCTACCGTTCTGCAGCTAGCTTTTGCCACACTACTATTACAAGGCACATTGTAGGAATCTCATGCATGTATATGGATATGTCTACCATCCTTAGCTATGCAAATAACAGCTTAGAAATAAACCTTTCCAACCCCAACCCCACTATTACCCCCCCCCCCTAGAAAAATGCATGACAACATTCAATTCTGGTGAAATTTATATTTACAGGAAATTCTTTAATTAACTATGCGAATTATACTAAAGCATTTTTATCTAAATGAGTATTATTTTGTCACTAAATCAAGAATTATGTTTAAGCTTTAAGAAAATTAACCCTACTGCAGAATTCAAACATAATATAAACAATATTATTTCAATTTATCGGCTTAAGTCCTCCACTTTTTTGCAAAGAAATACATTATGTGGACATTTAAAATAGAATTTACGGTTTTTTTGGGGATTAGCCCCATTTTAATATTAGCCCCCCCCCCCAGTTTAATTTGCTTTCGACGCCTATGAATTATGCTGAATGTATCGTGACTGCTTATCGTCAATCATCAAACTGCAATATTGCGTGTTTTATAACGTGCAAACTGCCCGAAGTTATGTTTGAATTATCGAATTATTCGAATAACATAAGTTTAAATAACCTTCATTCCTTTAAAAATTATAGGCTCGATTAAGAAACTTAATTTACATGCGTAAATACTAAGTCAATTGTACATCTATAATCCAGATGTTCCAATGACACAAATGTTTGTCAGACTGGCTGATGATCATGCCCTAGTAACGTAAAATAATATATGTAACTTTAACATTTAAAAAAAAATACGGACTTAGAAATAAGAAAGAGAATATATCTCAAAGTAATGTTTCTTTCAGGAAAGGTCACGTGACACGTTTTTCACTATACTACCGGGGACACGTGTGTTACCCCCAAGTACGAACCTTCGCTCATTATGAAAAATTCACACTAACATACATCTTTTAATCCTAACTAACCGGGGACATTGTTTCAACATATTAAAAAATGGATTTTTTCGGCTCTTTGGGGTAATTAGACATCCCTGATTTCGAATTTGGCGCTATTTTTAATCGAAGACAACCGGGGACATCCCCGGTTGGAAGGTCGTCCCCGGTTGAAAGGTGTGTAAACAAACAAATGTCCCCGTTTGATACCCTTCACGCACACACAGTGTGTGTGTGTGTGTGTGTGTGTGTGTGTGTGTGTGTGTGTGTGTGTGTGTGTGTGTGTGTGTGTGTGTGTGTGTGTGTGAGAGGGTGTGTGTGTGTGTGTGTGAGGGTGCGTGTGAGTGTGTGTGAGGGTGTGTGAGGGTGTGTGTGCCTTTGTCTTTTTGTCGGAAAATTTATATCAAATACCTCCTTTCACAGTTTGAAAGAATGTTCCGTCACTGCATTGATATTCCTTTCCATTAATTTCTGTTTTATCCCCATTCAATATAAGTTTCGATGACTTCATGTTTGCAGATGTTCTCTTATACTGGCAATGGTTGTTATCAAAAAGCTTCTGAATGAGAAAGAAAAAAAGAAATTTGATTTCTTATCTGTGTACGTTTTACGAAATCGTGATACAATCATTAAAACAAATTATGTTAAAATAAAAAAAATCCATGTGTTTAATATTTTACAATTGATTGTTGGTTAATATTATTATTATACAAGGGAGTTCATTGTCAGTTTTCCTCTTTTGAGAATTTTGCAATTTTCAATCAAAATCGTTATGATTACAAAAAAACATTATTACAAAGGTATACTTAATGAACTTAATGATTTGTTATCATTATTTACTTTTTCATGACAGAAAATAACGACCGTGTATTTGATATATATATGCTTTATTGGGATATCTTAAAAAATTAACGAAATGTAAATTCTTATCGACAATAATTTGATATTGAAACCACAACAATACATGTATATTTCAGGACTACATCTATGTAGTATTAATTCTTAATTCATTTTATTTATAAATATATAAACGGATTTTTATGGTTATTTAGAAGTTGAAATTTTATTGAAGCTAAATAAAAGTAATTCTCTCATGTAAACTATCAAAAATCGGAATCACTGAAATCATTACTTTTTTGCATCGAATCCTAATCTTCTTTTGTCTATCTTTTTTTACTCCCTAATTCATTACATGTACTAAGGTCGATATTAGATGTTGCTCTATTTTTTTTGTATATGTTGTAGATAAAATAAAAAAAAAGTTTCAATTTTTTCTCAAGTTCTAACAGTTTTTTCATGTCTCGGTCTGTCATACGTAAAATCTAAAATGAAAATTGCAACTGAAGCAACATCAACCTTAGGATTGACATAAACAGAGTTACAGAAAAGAATGATACAGTACTCTACATATTTCTAAAGTTAATTCAATCAGCTGGATAATCACAATCTGTTTGTCATATCGAGGTTAAACTATCATGTATATATCCTACCTTTGCTTTTGCCATCATTACGACTCCATTCATCGTAATCAAGTAAATGAAAACTATTGCTATATGTTTGGACAGCATTTTGTCTTAAATTATCTGAAAAAAAAATATTTAAGAACGTGTTATTGCAAATATCAAATACACAATGAGAAATCAATACAACGTGCATTGAAACTATGTAATGATTTTATCAGAATATGAAACATACGGCGTATGTGTCTGTTTCAACTTAGCATTAAGTGATAACAAAATCTAGAGAATGGACCGAATATTTATAAAATTATTACATTTTCAAAGATATGGGTGATTCTAATAGAAGTGAGAAACATTTTCAACACGTTCCACTTATTACAACAGCGGGTATGACCAGTCAGCAGGAGATGCTCACTCCTCTATGGCACCTGATCCAACCTATGATGTTTCAGAGGTCCGTGTTTGCTATGCTCCTGTTTTTTATTGTTTTTTTACTTTGATATTGAATTTGTTCGTTATTCATGATACACTTATGAATCTATATCCTTCTTTATAACATAGTTAAGGTTATGCACTATTAATCACTTTTGCTTAATAAATGGTTAAATACTGCTCATAATAGGAATTTCATAAATGACACTTAACAAAATTAAATGATTTAAACGGTCAAATTACTGTTTCCTTATTATGAACAATATTTAGTATAAAAGATCAGCGTAAAAAGTTATATTTCATAATTTGATGCATGTTGAAATCTTCTAGACTTTCATTTAAAAACTATCAGTTTTATTCAATTATGTCAATATTATTTTTTAAAATTTGAAAAAAAATGAAATTACTAAAGATAATTCATTTCAATATTGCCAGAGATATCGTCATATAAAAAAAAACTATTTTTAACGAAAGTATTTTATTCAAAATAAAAAAAAAGTTTAAAAACACTATTAAGGACGTTTGAAGATTACAAACAGTAATCAACCAGTCTCAAATAATTTTTACATATTTTTTGATCCTTAATATTATTCTATGGATATCATAAATCACCATATACATGAAAGTCATTATAGCACTATTATTCACATAAATTACACCTTTTACACGTACACTAAGTTAAAAAAGTGAGTGCAGGATCAATTATATAATTAAATATTAATTTCATTATAAAAAACTACAACTATGTACTCTGCACCTATTTCTAGAACACTATCAGTTCCAGTGATAATAAAATCGATACATGCCCCGAAAGTACAGTTTTCTATATGAGAAACCCTTAACTACCTTCATTATTAAACATTAAGATATAATTATGCTTATTTTATCGCAAGGAACCGATGTTCGATAGTCTTTAACACTTATCTTTACGTCACCTGTATGAAGTGCCCAGCAGGACTATAGTTGTAGGGCGAAGAAGAACATGGAAGCTTTGGAAGATTTTGTATACATTAAGTAGGATTAAATATACTTATTCGATCAAAGCAAGTTTTTCCAAAAAAACGTTGGATTGTTAAAACGATTATACATTTTCTTTAAGTTTGCTGAATCTCATATTGTTATAAATAGGATATTTTCTATATGTAATCAAGGCAAGAGCCTTGTTTATATAAGGCAGAATTTTAAATTGTGTTCCTACTTTGTTAATCAACAAATGATGTCCAATTTTTTGGTTATCATTAGAATCGGCTTAGTTAGTAATTTTAAACATTAATATTGGTTTAAGGGGAAGAATGACCTTTAGCTACAAAAAACCTGTCGTACAATACTAGTAATAAATCACATACCTTCAAGAAGATATATAAATAGGTATTTAGACTTATTTTTTAGATATTGAGAGACAAATACTATGCCGAACAGTGTCTTAGTGGAGGTATGATTTTTCATGATTCTGGGCCCATTACTAGGTCCATAATGGATTTTTTTAGAATAGATAAAAAGTATGTCAGCAAATATTTGTCTTTTAAAATATTTCAGAGTACTGTATAAAGGGAAATTTTCGCCCCCTTTTTATTTTCGGCCCTTCTACTTGATTGGTCAGATTTAAAACGGGGCGAATTCAAATTAAACCTCATAATTTCTCAAACAGAACCATGACTGGGCTAATCTTAAACACGGGACGAAAATAGCCCTGTATACATTAGTGTTAAAATATCAAAAAAGCTAGATTCTTCACTGACACCAGATCAGGGGACGGAAAATTAAATACTTTTTCAGATAATTAAAACAACAAAACATACTTTGCAAAAAATAATATTATTAAATATCTGAAAATTTATGTTGCAATGCAAGTTTGTCAAATATCGTTTGGTGAAGCTGAGATCAATATTGCACAGGGTAAAGTTAAACAAAACATGAGCATGGGAAAAAGTGTCATGTTTTACATTTCTCAAGTACGGGAAAACCCAACTATGACATATCACATTTGCGAAATGAGCGAAATAAGACAAAGCTACAAAACATTTCCGACAACAACCATGAAAATATTTTTTTGTGTTCCCTAAATTACAAATTGCCCCATCATGTACTGATCATGAACCGCTTTATGATACTATAGAGAGGTTCAGTTACATTTTTCGTGAGGAATTTGTAAGGTGACGTTATAAGTTGTTGCGTTCTTCAACTTTATGACGTCAAATCCTACGTCTAGCTACAATTTTAGAAGGTGTAATACACTGTCTACAGGTATAATATAAACGAGTAATGGAATTCCGTGTATTAAGAATACACAATTCGCTTTTCTCATATGACCTCTGAAATGCTAATTGTGACGTCATTAACTTGTGCATTTTCTGTTTCTTTTAAAAAAATTGTAGAAGACAACAATTTTCCGTGGAATTTTCTGCCACCGTCGCCCAAAAAGACTTTAAGATATGTGATTTTTCACAGTACATGCAGTTTCCATAATATACCCAAAATGAACTGAACGACGGTGACAGACACTATTTGCTAAAGGTAAACAAGCACAGAAATGAGTCATTCTGAGGCTTTTCTGCATTAAACGTAGAGATGTACAAAATTATTGACGTCATATTTCCAGAAGGGTCCTACTTCATGCTATATTTTTTTAATGATTCATCATATTCATCTTCTCAACACTTGTTAAAGCCAATTTCATATTTTTTTTTAGAATATTAAATCTTTAGGGCACAATAAAGCCTAAACCGTACCTTTTTTACCTCATATTCTGTAAAAATTCTTCAAAAAGGGACAAATTTAAAAGCTGTTTTTCGATATTTGATATAGAGCGCATCTCTGATCTAAAACATGTAACTGCTAGAATGATAGAACTGTTTCTGGGGATTAAAACACATGTTTTATTATCTAGATCAGAGAGTGCTTTGATATTCTTTTTCTTCACTGAAAGTATTCAATTACATGTATACCTGTTTACCTTAAAAATCAAGAACATTGGAATTCCTCATCTAGCCAGTTCTCAAAGACCTGGACTTTTAAGGGGAAAATTTTTAATTGAAAATGAAAGCACTAAGTCTCTATTTTATTTTAATGCTTTAAATGGAAATCAAGTGTAACAGTTAATCAATCAATTGGTTTAACTACAGGGCCATTCTATGCATGAAGTAAACCGAGCTCTTTAATGAGTGATGATTCAACGATTCCATCAGTGTTTTGTATCTTTATCAATGAACAGTTAAACTGATTACAAGCAGTTTGTTTTAATTTTGTACGCAGGATTCATTGAAAGAAGATCCCAACAATAAACACGATAAAAATTCGTTGTGGTGATTATTCTCCTAATATAATTTATATTTAAACCCCTTCTAACACGTCCATTCTTTTATTTTTTTAACTGTATTTTTTTTCTATAAAATAACACCCAAGGTCACCTGACATAACAAAAAATAACCTCTCATCTAATAAAGTCATCATTTCGTAAGTTATATGGTCGATACAATGACCTTGTCAGAAAATACAATATTATTATTTAGTCAAATGCTGACTGACGTTTTTTAAACCAATTATAAGTCCATTATTTATACACTGAATTAACGACGGATTTCCTGATCATTACAAGGAGCACACGGCGAGTGTTGACCTGGTCGGAGGGGATGCTCACTCCTCCATGGCACCTGATCCCGCCTCTGATGTTTCGGGGGTCCGTGTTTGCTCTGCTCTTATTTGTATTGTTTTATGGACTTTGAGATTGAATACTGTTCGTTACCTGTATATCCTTCTACATACAATTTTTTTTTCATTTTTTTCTAATAATAGATGTTTTACAAGAAGTAATCAAGAGAGAATTCAGTTGAGCTGATATGCAAATAAACATTCTTTTTACATTGTACATGAATAAAGATGCATATGACTTAGCAATGAAAAATAAAAGAATGCTAAATATGCCTGAGTCTTAAAATTAAAACGAGTTGCTATATGTATAAGCAGCTGCAAAAATAAAGAAAATCAGTGTAAAACTATTATATAGACTGCATTTATATATTAATTTCATCTACGAGGGTTGTCCGTAAAGTTCGTGGACAACATTGATAATTACTGACAAACACAAACACTGATAAAATATATGAAACAATTATTTTCATTAAATTCATGTTTCATTGTGTAACATGTAAGTTTTTAACAAAAAAAAAAAAAAAACAAAGCACAAATAGTTATAATCTTATCAAATTTAAAAGACACCTGGAAAATTATTTGTGATATGCTATAATGTTCTTCAAATTTATACTCAAATGTACCAATATGGTAAAATAGTAAAAACTGTTCCCCGACCTCACTTTGTTTTCTTTCCTCACCCCTCCCCTTTGTTTACATTTTTGTATATAAAGCTTTCACAATGAAGATTCATAATATACATGAATGTCATATATCTTATGCAGCTTTATGAAATGAATTTGCATTTACCAAAGAGAATTTGTATAAGGTATATAATATAAATTATATGGAAGAAAAATTATATAGTATATGTATGTGTTGAATGTAAACAAATCTATTGTACACAGTCTGTAAATGTGAAAGCAAAAAATAAATTCTATGAATTAAAAAAAAAAAAAAAAAAAAATTAAAAGACACACACTCATACCCGGAGCACTAAACTGAAAATTCGTGACGGTATCCGACGTCAAAAGCATAAAACAAGTACCTGCAAATTTTCTTAA